TAGTGTTTGGGGCTCCTCAGTGTACAGGAAAATGTATATAAATGAAATAAGGAATGCGAAGAGGTAGAATGGAAGGAAAATAAGAGATTAATTGCGTCATCATAATTTTTTTTTATTGAGTTGATACAGTTTTCAAATTTACTTTTTCTATACAAGGGAGTCTAGTTGTCCTCCCTTACCCAAAACAAGAGTCTAGCTGTCCTCATTTAATACATTTTTAACCTAAGTGTTGACGCCAAACACGTTAACAAAACTCATATGTTAATTATTCATATGTGCAACACTTATGCGTAATCACATTGGGATAAGGGAAGTTAAAAGAAGACAAAGGAACATATTAGGCTTTTCACCGGTTCACTATTTGAAGAAAGCCCAGTGGACTATACTTTGGGTGCATCTTAACAAATTAAAACGTTTAATGTGTAGGACTTATTAAATATATAAATTTTATAAAAAATTATATTAATCAAATATTGATAATTATTTAATGAAATAATATTTATATCAATAGTTTATTTTTAAAATTTATGAATAGAAATGTGATTCGATTAAGAGACTATTGATATCTGATCAATATAATTTTTTAAATGAATTATATACTCGACGAATCCTATAACTTGAAAATATGTCCGAAATAAGCCTCAGTACAAACCAATAACACCTTATAGTCCAATTGCGGACGGAAGAAAAGTCAATAAAAGAATGCAGTTTAAATCATTATGAGCTCCCCTGGAGTTGACTTTATTAATTTAAATCGTTTAATTTTTAATTTCATTTGAGTAGATTATTTATGTAAAAAGTTAGATTAATTAAATATCAATAATCACATAATTAGCTCACATTAATATTTGAAAAAATAATAGTGATATACGACAAATATAATACCAAAAGTAAATTATTTATTTTTTTAAGACAAATATAATTTAAATATGTAATTATTAATATCAAATCAATTTAATTTTTTTATATTAATAATTTACTTAAAATTCACCGAAGATTAAACAATTGAAATCAGCGAAAGTGGGCCACGACATCCTAAATTGGACCGAAGGAAAGCATCATCCAAAAAGATTTTATAAAAAGAGTAAGAAATGAAAGCGACAATATATTGAAAATAAATAAATATTGAGATTTCTTGCGTCAACTTGATTTGTCATTTATCACCAAGACCTTATATTTGTTGCAATTTTAATATTTTAACAACTCATCAATTATTTATCAATTAATATATTAACATATCACATGATATAGTTTTAAAAATTTTAAATATTTATAATTTAAATAATGAATAAAATTAATAATAATATCATAATATAAGTTGGTATAATATACTAATTAATACAGGTAATACAACCGTTTCTATTTTTATAATCGGGTTACTCTGGGCTTTGACCAACGAGTCCCGAGTACATACTAATCATTCATTTCACATATATTAAAAAATTATCGGACCAGAGTGGGCTCAAGATCAAGGTCCCGAGTACATACTAATCATTCATTTCACATATATTAAAAAATTATCGGACCAGAGTGGGCTCAAGATCAAGAACTTTACCAGATCATGCAAGAACATGTAGAAGTAGATGTTTGAGTCCGAGCATTCACGAGCAAGTACAACAGCGACAACCAGAGATACCACAGAGAAGACACATACAATCACATTTGCAGCAGCCAAAAACCTACAAAATTTGTGAAATCTTAATAAAAGTCTCGAAACATAGCACAGAATTCTTTATCCCAAATTTCTTGTTCTTCTGTCTCAATGTACTCACTCAATATACGATATTGCGTAAGAGACAGAAGAACAGAGATTTTGAGAGAAAGAATCAATGAACTTCGACATATAGGATATATATGTATGTATAGAGATGTATATTTAGAAATTGATGAATTGTTATAAGATTGAGATATGTGTACTTGAAACTAGAGTCGTCACTGTATTTAGCATCAATCTGCAAGCCATAAAGCATGATAGTTTGCTTGCTAGTGAAGATGATACATAAAGCAGATAATGAAGACACAATTGCCAAAAATTTCAAGCAAATTTGGGTTTTCAATGAAGATGTGGATGTGTTGAGAGTTGGGTTTGGCTTAGTTTTGGCTTCAAGGGCATCCATGGTTCAGACAACTTGAAAGGGATGGAAACAGTGGAAAACAGAGCAAAAACAGGGGAGGAGGTAGAAGGGAGGGAGAGAGAGAAGGCAAAAGGTGGAGAAAGTGATAGAAAGATGAATTCTGGTGGGCAACTTATAGAGAGAGGAGGTGAGTGGATCAACTCAAAGTCCTTAAAAACAAAAAAAACACTATGGTTTTTTACTTTTTCAACTCTGATCTTACCATTAATTAATTGTCCAAAAAAGTAAAAGAGCCTCACTGGATGTATTGATAAATTCTTGATTTCACTGTTGAATTGGAAAGAACTTATCCCCAACCTAAAATTTTTCCCAAAATTAAATACAATACTGAATGATATACGCATTTAATCACAAAATTAAATATAATAATGGATGATATGCATATAATGGTTCCACATCTTGTATTTGGTTTTAGAATAATACTATGCCTCCGTTTGGGAAGTGGGTTGACTTTTTGACTTTTTTGGCTATTTTAGTCTGGGCTAAAAAGTTTGATTTGGGAAGAGTTTTTTGGCTTTTTTGACTTTTTTTGTGATAGAAGAATGTAATGATTATGGGTTAGATGTGATATTTTGTTTTTTGTTGCTAAAATAGCCTATTTTGTCTTTTGTGGCTAAAATAGCCAAAAAAGCCCCGTTTAGCTCTTGCCAAACGGAGCCTATATGTACTAATTAATATACACACTAGTGTACTAACATATGATGTGATATCATTTATATGATTTTGAATATTTGTAATTTATATAATAAATGTGGTCAATAATAATATCATTACATTAGTTGGTATACTAATTTATATATTAATTGGTGTATATAGTATTACCATTAATTTTATAGTTAAATTACGTGCATTTATAATGTTTCTTTGGTGATTTGGTATGCAATGTACATTTCCAATGTTTGGAGTCAAAATAATAACGTTAAAATTAAATTTTGACAGGTTATAACTTTTAAGTCAAGTTTGGCATCATCAAAAAAATTCAAAAATTCAAAAAGTCACTATCCTATTTAAGTCATATCATCTTATTTAAATCACATCACGTCTTTATCACATCATTTCAAACCCAACTCATACCTAATTTATATTTCATAAAAAGTCAAAAAGTACACTTATTTAGGACACCCCAAACAACTCCTAAAAAGTTGAAGAAAAGTGTTTGGTACTATTTATTATATTTAACTTATATACTTACGGAGAATTCTAAAAAAGTAAAAAGTAAAAATATAATTTTAAAATAACAGAAGTATAATTAATATATACATGAGATTGTGCAAGTAAATCTTATTGTACAACGATTATTTTGAAATTATTTTTTTCTAAAATTCTCCTGTAACTTAATCAATTTACTTTTATGCCTTATTTGGTTAAGCAAAATGAGTTGGAGTGGAAAGAAATGATTATTTTTAGGTGCTCTCATATGAAATGATCATTCTTTTGAAATGGCGAATGAATGATACCATTTATAATGTATTTTGTCATTATGTTTTTAATCAACTAAATATGGAAATAAATATTTTGATGAAAAGATCATTTTATTCCGTTTCATTCTAATGAACCAAGGTATCTAAGATATCTGTTTATTTCTAGTTATTTTTTTTTATTATCATTTTTTTTTATTTTTTATGGCGGAATTACAACACACCGGGGCATAGAAGGAAAATTATAAAAGTATGTGAGGTACATGTCATTTTGTGGTGAGTGCAAGTGAAAAATTGTGGAGGTATAAGGGTCCTCCATGTTTGTGGAAAAAAAAATATCTATCCTACTAGAATGTATTTTAATTTCACATTGGGCAAAACGAGTGCTCAATACTTTTATAATTATGAGTGTACATTTTAAAAAATTACAAGCATTTTGGACTCAACACTTAAAAAGTTCATACATATAATTCATGAAAAAAACAAAAAAAAAAAATTCACAAGAATGATATGACAAATATCATTATCGTAAATAAACTCATTTTCAATAGTGTTCTATTTAAAATTCATAATGAATCACGGCACTATGTATGAATTTTTTATTTGGATGCCATTACTTTTTTTTATATTATTTTCCAAGCACTTTGAATTTTTTCACATGTTATTCAAAAGGGAATATTATAATTTCTTCCAAGCATTTTAAGCAAATAATCTTAAAAGTTAACTTTTACAATTTTCCATAAGCTGTGTTTTGCTTCTTCTTTCTCTTCTTCCATGTGGCTAATAATATGCAAAATGTTGCAATGTTTTGGTTGCTCTATAATTCATTTGAATCATGGATGTCCAGTCCATGCTAAGTTCTTTTTTCTCAACAACCACCACAATCCAAAAAATACTTAAAATTTTCTCGGTTTCTTCGATCCATTTTCGGGAGCTGAAGGGGGATTTCGATCCAACACGTGGCCATCGCGAATTCTCCCACAGATTTGATCATAATTTATATGGATTTGTACTTATCTTTAATAAATATTTATGATATTTACACTTTGGCCAAATTTTCTAATATAACTATATAAATAAATTAATCCCTAATTGAATTACACTCTATCGTATACTAACCGGAAATTAATTATTTATTTTACTACCACACCGATTATTATTATTACTATTATTATTATTGTTGTTGTTGTTGTTGTTGTCAATATTATTCTTTATTTAGTCATACTTTTATATTTATTTATTTACGGTCATTATCTTTAATTTGGCCCAACTAATATTATAATTCCATATGTCTATTAATTTGGCCCCAAATAATAATGGGGAAATTACCCATAGGTCCCATGGGAAACATGTGATCTCCATTTAATCCCATAACTTTTTCACTACACCCAAAAGTCCTTTCCTCTCTCTCTCTGCTTTTTGCTTCCCTTCCTCTCTCATTTTTTTTTCTACATTTTTCTGTCATCGTGTTTGTCATGGAAGAGGACCACCGGTGATCATATCTTTCTCGATTGATCGGGGTTCATTGATAACCACCAAGCATTGAAACCATCTCCGACGAAGAAGATGATATATTTTCCGACGAAGAAGATGAATGGATCTACTTAGGTCTGATATAGATCTACTCAGAACTACATCAGATCTGAGTAGATCTACACAGATTTGGTTAGACATCCGTTTTTCCCCTTCGATCTCTTTATTTTTTTTTTCTCTCTCTGCTATACACTTCTATTTTTCAATTCTAATAGAGAAAATTTTCGAATTCTGAACAAGCAGTTTTCGAGTTTTAGTTACAAGCGGTGAAAACTGTAAAATTTTGCAGTTTCAAATTTTTTTTTTGGTGCTGGAATGAAACATGGTTTAAAACTGTAAAATTTTACAGTTTTATAACATTCTTTAGAACTGTAAAATTTTACAGTTTCATAACATGTTTTTTATTTTTTTTTTTTCGGCAATATTCTAGACATTCCGGTGAGTCTCCGGCGACCGTTAAACCGACGAAGAAGATGATATATTTTCCGACGAAGTAGATGAATGGATCAACTTAGATTTGATATAGATCTACTCAGATCTACATCAGATCTGAGTAAATCTACACAGATTTGGTTAGACATCCGTCTTTCCCGTTCGATTTCTTTTTTTTTTTTCTCTCTCTGCTATACACTTCTGTTTTTCTGTTCGAATGGAGAAAATTTTCGAATTCTGAACATTATTATTATTATTATTATTATTATTATTATTATTATTATTATTATTATTATTATTATTATTATTATTATTATTATTATTATTATTATTATTATTATTATTATTATTATTATTATTATTATTATTATTATTATTATTATTATTATTATTATTATTATTATTATTATTATTATTATTTATTTACTCATATTTTATTTACTCATACTTTTATATTTATTTATTTACTATCTTTAACTTTAATTTCGCCAAACTAATATTATAATTCCATATTTCTATTAATTCGGCGCCAAATAATAATCCCTAATTAATCCGATATTTTATAATCCAATGCAAAATTAGATTCTGTATTTATTATTATATATTTAATTATATATCATCACATACAATCACAATAGTAGTATAAAATTTAAGGGACGACTTAAATTTTCGGGTTGTTACAGCTGTAAGGATTAGGCTCTATGAATTGCTTGTTTTTCTATGGGAGAGTTACTAGTGAATGAAACGAAATTGAAATGGAAATGTTTAAACTTTTCACAGTGATACCTCAACTTTTTATTAAAAAAATAAACCTACCTTTCAGGGTAAACGCCAAGAATATGAAAAAAATGAACCTACCTTTCACGATAAAAGCGACTCCCTCTCTAAAGATTTGTAACAATCTCTACATCTTTGTCTTTTTTCCCAAGAATTACAATGGATCAGGAAGTTCTTTTTTTCTCAACAACCACCACAATCCAAAAAATACTTAAAATTTTCCCGGTTTCTTCGATCCATTTTTGGGAGCAGAGGCGGGATTTCGATCCAACACGTGGCCATCGCGAATTCTCCCACAGATTTGATCATAATTTACATGGATTTGTACTTATCTTTAATAAATATTTATGATAATTACACTTTGGCCCAATTTTCTAATATAACTATATAAATAAATTAATCCCTAATTGAATTACACTCTATCGTATACTAACCGGAAATTAATTATTTATTTTACTACCACACCGATTATTATTATTATTATTGTTGTTGTTGTTGTTGTTGTTGTTGTTGTTGTTGTTGTTGTTGTTGTTGTTGTTGTTGTTGTTGTTGTTGTTGTTGTTGTTGTTGTTGTTGTTGTTGTTGTTGTTGTTGTTGTTGTTGTTGTTGTTATTATTGTTGTTGTTGTTGTTGTTGTTGTTGTTGTTGTTGTTGTTGTTGTTGTTGTTGTTGTTGTTGTTGTTATTGTTGTTGTTGTTGTTGTCAATATTATTCTTTATTTAGTCATACTTTTATATTTATTTATTTACGGTCATTATCTTTATTTTGGCCCAACTAATATTATAATTCCATATGTCTATTAATTTGGCCCCAAATAATAATGGGGAAATTACCCATAGGTCCCTTGGGAAATATGTGATCTCCATTTAATCCCATAACTTTTTCACTACAGCCAAAAGTCCTTTCCTCTCTCTCTCTGCTTTTTGCTTCCCTTCCTCTCTCTTTTTTTTTCCTACATTTTTCTGTC